TTAATGACATGTCAAAATTTGGAAGCATGTCATACGTACAAATGGAAAAAATGATGACATGGTAATATGACATGTTATATTAGGCAATACTATAAGGATAATCTTTTTATATTATTTTTTATATCATTTTTTTATACAACTTTTATATGTTATTAAATGAGTGGATGCATTTAATATCACGAATTCCATATCAATTAAAGAACCAATCAGTTAAAATGATACAACTTTTATATGTTATTAAATGAGTGGATGCATTTAATATCACGAATTCCATATCAATTAAAAGAACCAATCAGTTAAATGACACATTAGGTTGTACCAAAAGGTGGCACAAAAAGGTTGTACCAAAAGGTGGCACCAAAAGGTGGTCCCAAAAGGTGGTACAAAAAGGTTGTCCCAAAATCATTTTCATGCTATATTCTTGTCCAACACAAAAAATAAAAAAGTAGGATCCACCAAAATTACAATTTTACCCTCATCTTCTTCCTTGCCTTTTCTTTCTCAAATCTTCTCATTCATTCTCCTTTTTCTCTCTTTACCTCCTCCGAGTCCACTTTCATCACCATTCTTCATGAACCACTTATTCATCATCATCATTAAACAACAAAACCCACAAAAAATAGAAAAATCTTTTTGATTTTTTGCACAAAACAAAAAATTTGTTGGGTTTGAACCTAGTTGCCATTGTGTTCCATAGAACCCTAGCATGTTGGGTTTGCCACTAGGTTCTAACCGTTGGAACCCACGTGTTCATGAACCCAGCAAGCCTGGGTTCCAACGGTTGGAACCCCACGTGTTCAATCCCAACGGCCTTGGGGTTCCAACCATTGGAACCCAAGTGTGCTAGATTTGAACGTAGCGACTGTTGGGTTTTAATGCTGGAACCCACAGGTTCGAACCCAATGATTGGAACCCATGTATTTGCAAACCTTGCATGCCTGGTTCCAACGATTGGAACCCACGCATTCAATGGAATCAAACGCGTGGGTTCCAACTGTTGGATCCTAGGTGTATTGGGTTCTAATGGTTAGGAACCACGCATTCAAACGTAGCGGCTCTTGGGTTCTATGGAAACTTAGTGTCTG